AAATTTTATTCTCATATTTCCTGATTTCATATGTTTAGGTTGGTAACACTACATGCCAAATATAGAAATCTTCTATTTTTAAAATCGCGAATGACAGTTCGATGGCCATCAGTCAGCCAGTGTTACCAACCTCCGATAAGTAAAAAAGGAGTGTCACAAAGAGCTTCTTTTCGAAACTACTTTTAGTGTCGAAAAGACTTCGATATGACACCAAAATAGAAAAATGTTTTTTAGCTTTAATTGTTAGTTAAGTTTTCGTTTACTGGATCATCATTGAAATCATACCTTTTTTTAAAAAAAGGGTTGCTTACTTTCTCTTTAATTTTTTTATTTTTTTTGCTGAAAAATTTTACCTTGGTTTCATGTGAAACTCTAGGCCCCCCAGCATGTTGGAAACATGTTCCAACAATCATGCTATCTCTTTTTGATGGCAAAATATTTTTATACATATAAAGTTTGCAACACTGCAGCGTTGTCGTCATGTCTATTTTGTCATGTCTGTCAATATATTGCGCGCCATTTTTGTCATTGCAGCAGTGTAGCTTGGAGCTTGTCCACGTTAACAAGCATCCAGAAACCTTTTCACATTTTAATAAATTTTATAATCTAGCTCTGCCCTGTTGGGCATCTAAGCAAGCTCTGGCTTCTTGTCATCTTGTAGTAGTAATTGTAAATAGTGTAAATATTGTGTAAATTGTTGTAAATATAGTGTCAGTGAAAAGCGCGTGTGTTTTAGTTCCCTATCCAGTCGATCATCCAGTCCACCTAATTATACAGTCCACTAATTATCAAGTTATTTATCTTCCATTATGTGGTTTTGCACACGTAGTTTCTTGATGGGTGACAATTTGGTATGCTTATCCCCATACGTCATTTTCTAGATCGCTGACAAGTTGTTTACAGGTTTCTGTCTTACTTTTTCCAAGTTGCTTTAGTCCTTGCTTGGCGCTTTTGTATTGCTCTTCGATGTCGTGTTATGGCTATCGGTCTGGTTTGGGCGCTTTTTCTAGTAAGTATTCTCCTTAATTTGATGCAGGCTTCGCTCTTAGTGACAATTTGCTGGTTCCACCAGTACACAGTGTGCAGAGGACTTCCTGATCTTTGCGGTAGTTATTGTAACATTTATCAGTAATTATTTTTATAAGTGTTTCGGTGGTGATGTCGTCCCTCCATATTCTTGGATAAATCTGTTCATCGAGGTGTCTCTTGTGTTCCTTTCCTCTTCTGGCAGTCCAGGGTTGTTTGTTTTCGCTCCTATTTCTATTTCGAATCTTATAGTGTTGTGATCGCTTAGGTTGACAGTTTCCTTGTCAACTTTCCAGTTTTTTACCCTCCTACAGAGGTTGTCGGTGGAGGCACTAGCGGCAGTGAACTCCATCAGAAAGTTGGTACTTTTCCTTTATTAATACTTGTTAAGTTATTTGCAGCAGTCCAATCCTCGAAGATTTTTTCCTTGGGTTGGTGACCTTTGACTGTATTCCGGATAGGATTCCGCATTTGAATCTCCACCCAAGATTATTTTTTTCGGTTTCTTCTCATTTGAGTCTCTATGTTCTGCAGGAACTCAGAGAAGTCTTCGATTTTTCCATTTGGTGAGACATAGCATGACAAGACCGCACACACATCGATTTCCAGATACATGAAACCTTCTCCTTTGAAGCTTGTTATCCTTCTCTTTTGAAGCTTGTTGTCACAGTTCGCTTGCTATTTATATTTATAAAACTATCACAGTCATTATCACAGAAATTTAGATTTGGTGTCTTCTTATTTGGTTCTTGACCTATCAGTCTATCAATATTTTCTGCTTCCAGCTTCCCTACATCTATTGAAGTTCAATTGTATCACTCGTATACAGTTTTTGGTGTTTTTTGGTGCTTTTTTTCTTGTTATCGGCATAAGTTAAAGTGGCTATTGAACATTGTCCGTCTTGTTATTCATAGGGCTCTGCGGAACGCTGGGCTTATTCTTGAATTGGCTGTTTTCGCTACATGTTCATTGGGCATTTTTCTTCGCATCACAATGATTTGACAACGGACCCGTCTCTCCACATTTAAAGCACAGACCTCTTTCGTCGGGGCCATTACAGTTGTTCGCACTATGATCATAGGACCAGCATTTTTGACATCTCAGGACCTTTACTTTCTCTTCTACCGCATAGGTTTACGAAGGCAATTCGGATGTTTCAATCTTGTGTTACCAGGTTTACTTTTTCTTTATTTAGTTAGGGTCACAGCACAGCTAGTGTGTGATTTCGATTTGGTCTGAAGAAGTTTCCCATTTTATATTTCTCTTTTTGTGCTCTTCTCCATGTTTTTGTCTTCTGGTTCTACAATTACAACTTTCACAGTAGTGTCTTTAGTCTCAAGCGGGTTACCCACTTTTTATCTCTGTGTTTGCGTAAAGATTATCTGTTCATTTTTTGTTTTCTATTGCTTGGTAGCTTTGGATATCGCAGTTTTCTTCTATGTTAGTGATTATTTCCTCCTTTGAGCCCCATTCAGTTGTCTTGCACTGAACGTCCTCATGTCAGCACACTGTGTCTCTGGGAGGTTCTGTTCGACAGTTGGGATTAGACAATTTGATAATATCCTGGCAAGCATCTTTCCCATAGTGGAAAGTAAATATATCCCTCTGTAGTTTCCACATTGAGCTTTGCCTTGCCTTTTTAAAAATGGCAACTATGGAGGCATCTTTAAGTTCGGCAGGTATGGTCTCAGTAATCTATATTTAGCATGTGGGTACTCAGCTTGGGGCCTCCTTTTTTAAAGAATTCAGCTGGAATTCCGTCAGTAACAGGTAACAGCTGACTTATTGTTCTTCAGTTATCTGATTGCCTTTTCAATCTCCTCTAATCTGGGAACCTCGCTCAGTTCTTGTATTGCTTTCTGTGGAATTTTGTTGAAGATGTCATCACCAACGATAATTTATGGAGGAACTGTCTTTAAGAAGTCTTGTGCCATCTTTGGATCGTACTCTCTGGGCATTAATTGAGTGAATTCAGATATGCACAATATACCATGGTATAACACATAATCCCTAATGAAGCCAGTTCTATTTAAAATGAAATGGCACAGTAGTGCAATAATTGTTTACCTGTTAATATCTAAGACAATTTGATAGAATTTATCTGCTGTAAAACTTGTTAGATTATTAGAAACATTTTCGATGTATAGCCTAAAGTGGTAATTTTAATACACAGTCTGTAAATAAAGATTATTATTATTATTATTTGAATAGATCATTTTTGTCTAGACACTATGTAATTGTTGTGCAAGACACTCAATTGTTTATTAGAGATTATAATAAGGATGGGATGTACATAAATAGTTAGTTCATAAAGTCTAGATTGATAAAATCATTCGGAAACAGTAAAATACCTATACAAAAGCCAGAAAGCGTTTATTGTTGTTTATGTGACTATTTTCATAGTTTCCAAAGTCTTGATAACTTGGTGCTTGTGTTTTGTCGTTCATAGTATAGGAAAAATCATGATTCCACTTCCTACTTCAGAGAAAATAGGTAAATTGCATCTGCTACATTTGCTCTCAATAACTGGCCCCTTAAACCAAAGAATGTAGTGAAAACAGGACGACGTTCTCTGAACTTTTAACCAAGGCTTTCTCCACTCTCAAAAAGCATCTCTCCTGGTTGAACAATAATTTCCATCACAAAATCAGAATATTCATAGAGAAAACTTCGACAACCCAATAATACCCATACAGAATCAAATAAAATATACAAAACGAATACTTCATTAGGATTGCTAAGATAAATCCGTGTGAAATACAGTAGTAAGCCAGAACTGAGTAAACCAGTCTCCACATAAAACGGTCTCAGCACATTGAATTTCAGCAGACATTCTTCCAATGGATAAACAGAAAAGCTTCATTGATTTCTACTGGTGGCTGCGGCGGAATATTATAGACTTCGCAATAACAATTTTCCATTTTCATACATAACCAAGACAAACAAATTTTCAAACTGTCTCTGTGTCTAATATTTTCTTGGATACCAACGAGGCTTTGACCTCACTTAAAACACCTCCCCAACTGTCACAGTTACTAGTATTGAGATTCGTATTGTACGAAATTCGTACAATGTACTATGCGAATATATCATTCCCAGTTAAACATTGAAAATAGCATCATGAAGCTATTGTCTCCGAGATAATCGAAATATCAAGTTCACTCAATGCAGTACAAGTTGTCAGAGCTTTCAGGTTGGCGCGAAGGCCCTTGACATTTTGGTAATACAAACATGGAAGTCTGATCTAATCACAGATTGTTTAAATGATCGTTATAGTTATTTAAGCCCGGATTTATACCTCTACATCCCGATACTAAATCCACAACATTGATCCTGCCTCGATTTGATAGGAAATTGAAAACCTCTATCCAAAGTTGCCATTTCTGGGAAAACAATAATTTCACTTTAGAGGACACAATATACATATATGACAGCGTCAGGGCCTTAACACTCAAAAATTTCGAATTTCAACGCACTTTTCTACCATAAACATTTAGCAAATAGCCAAAGTAAACTACACCAAATCTCAATTTTTTTTTTTGAGGAATTTATTTTTTAACCTTACAATCCTCAGCTCTATAATGTATTGTTTTCATTTTAGATTTCCTTCACAACGCCGGAGTAATCTATAGAGACCTCAAACCAGAAAACATCCTTCTAGACGCTGATGCCAACATCAAACTAATCGATTTCGGTCTCTCCAAGTGGTTGCCCATCGGCGAAACTACCAGAACCGTATGCGGAACACCCAAATACATGGGTATGACCATCTAAATAATCTTCCTTCCACAATTTCTATTAGATTTAGTAACTATTTTTTTGCTCCTAAATCATAACTAGTGAGAGTAAAAACCAAAATTCATGAATTTTTTACTAAGTACTCAGGTTTATCTGTGATTATCGTGTGATATAGTTAACGCTAATTTGCCAGCTTGTTTTTTTTTTATTAATTCTTATCTATTATAAATTAAATAATGAATGCCCGATCTCAAGTATTCGAACTCACATTAGAAGGTAGACAGGCTGACGAGGCCGTAGCCAGCCTATTTCACACAGTCCTTTTTCATAGATGTTTAGGTAAATTTTTGTACAATAACGAAAGCAGCTATTCGGTTAGTACTGTAGGTTTTACGGATGTAGATTGTGACTTTATAGATTTGACATATGTTTGCTGTTCATCAAATTCACTTAATCGTCAAGTCAAACAAGAAATTAGTAATTTTTCCGAGCAGCTGCGCAGCAACGAATCTAACGGTTCTGGACAAATATCTTTGGAGTTTTTCCAGCGGAAGCCTTCTAGGTATCTATTCCTACAGCCCGAATGTATACCCTGGGAAGTTTGGACGGTGCGACTACAGCTGATAACTTTAGAAAACGAGGTAGAAAGACAACTATGTCGTGAACGCGTTGGAGACCATTTAACCGATAAAATATTGTACATCACCGAAGTAATGAATAGGCAAGATTATTTACCAAAAATGCCATCTAAGAGTGATACGGATTTGGTGTTTGATACGTCCCTGCCCGATGTGCAGCCCTACTTATTTAAAATGAACTATTCAATATCGGGACCCTCTAGTGGAACGTCTGTTGGGACCACTATGAGAAAATTTATCAAGGAGAGTCTTAATTTGTAGATGGGCTTTGTAAAACACAGGGTGTGACTTTTGGAATAAAGACGCTTCCTTTTTGTGCCTAGTAGTTGAGTTGTACTTATTTGCGACTTGTTTTATTTAAAATTGATGGTGTATTGCAGTAATTTTCAAAAATTTAGTTTGAAAACACCCTGTTTTTTTTGCAACTCACTTAAATATTCTATTGAAATTTTACAGCATCTTGATGATAAGTTTCAAATGAAAAAAGAAGAAGATATCTCATATTTATTTTTATTGTTAAGTAAACAGATTTTTGTAGTACTCCATACTTGGCTCCACTTTAATATTCATAACTTTGTTTTATGCGAATTTAACTATAATGGACCACTTTTTGAACAGATTTGTACTGTTTTACTAGGGTTTGTGTCCTTAAGACAAGCAACATAACACATTTTTGTTGAAAAAACAAATCAATAATTGAGAAAATTTTCCAAAAAAAATTAGGTGGTCAAACTATTGACCTATTAGGTCTGTTCGCACAGAAATCACAAACTAGTCAGAGTGAATTTCATCGGCTGAAACCAGTTTTCTGACTATTTCCAACTGTTTTCAACCAATGAAATTCGCTCCTGCTGGTTTGTGATTGCTGTGCGAACGGACTTATTATCATTATCATGGATGAAAAAACATCCTATTCATAAACTGATATTGTGATGTGAATAGAACATGTCTTCTGGTTTGTTTTTCTGTCTCTAGCTTATATTGGTTGCCTGTGACAGTGATAAAGATAACATGACGTCACCCCGGGCAAATTGTCAGCCCAGCCAATCGATAACAACATTTGTAGTTTCTAGAAGTTTTTTTTTTTTTTCATCCAACACCAATTTGTACAGGATGATCTATTAAAAATGTCACCCCCTACTAACTTTTTCATTTGAAATTTTTGACAGAAGTATCAAATACAAAAGTTTAAAGCTTACAGGGTGTGACAAAAAAGTGTAGCAGTGCGAAGATATTCTTCTGAATAGAACACCATGTATATTGTGCGCTTATTTGTTAGTCCCTTTGAATCTGATTTCAATGATATTCGGTTTGATATGTCTAGCTTCAATACGTATAGGTAAAAACATGAAAACTCCTTTCAAGGTTCATGTTGAAGAAAGAAAAATTATACCATTCAAGCTCTCGAGAGAATTATTTAATATAAACAGTTTATTGGAAGGGTTTCTCGCGTTTCTCCCTATAACTATTGAAGATAAACCTAAAGGCTAGAGATAAACATATCAAACCGTGTATGGTTGAAATCAGGTGTAAAGGGACTAATAAATAAGCGCACAATATAGGTATGTGGTCTTTTGAAAAATTATAACTTTGCTGTGCTAAATTTTTCCAACGCACCTTAACTGCTTAAAACTGACATAGTTAAAAACTTTCGACAATTTCTTAAATCTTTTGTATTTAACATTTCTGTCAAAAACGTCAAATGGAAAAGATAGGAGGGGGGTGACATTTAGATCATCCTTTACGTTTCAAAGCAAAATATCATCTGGAAAGAATTGTATTTTGGCTTTAGGCTGAAGACACAATGACAAATAATACAAGGTACAAGAGATAGATACAAAATACCAAAAAATCGAAATTTTGTATCGTGGCATGGCAAGTAAATTGTATTCTGTATCCATTTATTCTGAGTTAGCATTGATACACATATTATCATATTTTTGTCTGTCACTCACCTTGTATTTGTAATTGTGGCTTCAGTCTTTAAAAACCTTTGCTAACTGTCAGTTAATGGCTGAATAATCAATAGCATTATAAACGCAAAATTGGCTTAAACTTTACATTTTAGAGATACTCATAATCTTGAATGTTTACATTCACATTTATGTGTGAAGGAGTAGCCAAGTTTGGTGCTGAAATGTATTTCTTGCATGTCAGGGTCTCTTCCTTATAATTATTAGTGTGGCATCTACTACTTAAAAAAAAAAAAAATAATTAAAAAAAAGTTAAATGCAAAAGTTGTAGGGCTTATCTCCATTATTTTTTTGCAAATGTCACAACGGGCAAACGACAAGTGCCAACCAACTGTCATAATGACAAACACTGGTATTTTTTAAATGGAACACCCTGTATATTTCTGGATAGAATCATAATTTTTTTTCTTCTGATTCCAAACGGTATTTGGTTCAGCTGCTTCTACGCTATTTAAGTTTAAAACTGCATTTATATTTCCCTAAATTAGGTCTGTTCCTCGTATATTATATCAAAGGTTAGGCTTGCTCAATGCAATTTTAAATTTAAATAGCGCAAAAACAGCTGAATCAAATATCAAATATGGTATATTTGGAATCAGAAGAAAAAATCAATCATTCTAGCCAAAAATATACAGGGTGTTCCATTCAAAAAATGCAAGTGTTTCATTATGATAGTTGGCACCTGTCATTTGTCCGTTTTGACATTTATTTATTTATTTATTTATTTCATTACTTTACAAACACCAAAAATAGTAATTACATGTAAAGTTAAAACAGCGAAGTGTAAAACACAGAAATAAAGATAGAGTACACAATATAAACATATATGACTAATTTAAAAGGGCCTTCAATTGATTGAAAGTTACATTAAAAAGATCTACCTGGACCTCATTAAGTGCTTGGTTCGCAACTGTCATCATGCGATTAAATGGTGACATATTATTACTAGGATCAGTACCAAAGTATTTCTTGTTTTTCATAATTCTTAAGTTAATCTTTGGTACAATTAAGGAGACATAGTTAATTAAATTACAATCCTTATACTTTAGGTTGTTTAAAATATAAAACAAAAATATCACAGCCTGATTATTCCTTCTTTCCACTAATGACTTTATCTCAAAACTAACAAGCATATCCCTGTAAGGAACCATATATGGGTAAATATTATTTTTAACCACATAGAGATACCGCAAAAATCTCTTCTGCACTTTTTCAATTTCATTAATATGCGTGGCTTCCAATGGCATCCAAATGTGTGATGCATATTCAAGGTGTGGTCTCACCAGAGCATTATACAAGTTAATAATTGTACTTATTTTAAAGTTCTTACTATTCCTGATTACAAAGCCAAGTGCTTTTACTGCTTTATTGACAGCATGATGAAAATGCTTATTGAACTTCATGTTGGCCTGGAAAAAGACACCCAAATCCTTCACCTCTGTTTGACGATCAAGCTCAGTATCACCAATCTTGTATGTTTCTTCTATTGGGTTTGTTCGTCTCGTAAAGCTGACAACAGAACACTTATTAACATTTAGGGACATTCTGTTGTTGTTGAACCAGTCCATCACCCTATCCATGTCACCCTGAAGCCTTCTGCAGTCCTCCTGCCGCTCAACAATCCTACAGAGCTTGAAGTCATCAGCAAAGAGAAGTCCCATAGAGTCCCTCAGGCAGTCAGGCAATGAATTGATGAAACACAAAAAGAAAAGAGGGCCCAGTTTACTACCCTGCGGGACACCTGAGGTTGCAACAAACGCCTCAGAGTTGCAAGCGCCGACCCTCACTGTCTGGACCCTGCCTATTAGGTATGACCTCACAAGATGGTAAGCATCCTCTGACACCCCAAACTCAGCAAGCTTGCAAAGCAGCAACTCATGGTCCACCCTGTCAAAAGCCTTCTCACAATCTGTGTACATGTGCAAGAGATAATTAAATAATCAAGTAAACTTACCTAAGTGCAGTTCGATTATAATTATACGTAGCGTTTCCATCGAAGATGAAATAAGAACAACATGTAGATGTTTAAAGTATAGGTGAGTCGCATCAACAGCAACTACCTTATTTAATACAAATACATAACTCTTAACCATATAACTAGAGTCTAGTTATATGGTTATTATATAACTAGAGTCTAGTTATATGGTTAAGAGTTATGTATTTGTATTAAATAAGGTAGTTGCTGTTGATGCGACTCACCTATACTTTAAACATCTACATGTTGTTCTTATTTCATCTTCGAAGGAAACGCTACATATAATTATTAGACAAAGACTAGACAAAGAATAATATAAAGACAAACTAATGTATAATTAACTTTTTAGACGTCTGGCCACGGACATATTACTAACCTTAATTGGAATATAATACTTTTAATTTTATTAACTAAAAACTTATTTTGTTAAAGGTAACTTTAAAACAGTCTTTGCAAAAAGGGAATTGTCATTTAAGGCTATAATATAGCCTTAAATGACAATTCCCTTTTTGCGAGTACTTTTGCGAGATTTTATGATATTATCATAAAATCTCGCAAAAGTACTCGACTCTCTCGACCAACCCGTCGTACTTCTTATAACATCAATACTAACCCCCTTACATTTCACCAATGAGGTTGCAGCATGTCTAGTGCTGTGGGCAGTAAAAAAACTTGTGTCTACCCCGCTTCGGCCAAGAGTGGTCTTTATCCAAGGACTTATTGTTTGGCTTGAAGCTTCACTAAATGATTTCTTAAACGATAACACCCGTCTTTTATTGTCATCTGGTCTAATCGCCTCAGTCTTACTTTACAGGTATGACTCAAGTATTTTAACTGGACAAATTGCTGGGTTATCTTTATAAATAGGCACTAATAAGGTCGGTTGTACTTCTACCACGAGCTGAAGTTTTATGCTTGGTTCTTGGTTGGAATCTTATAGCGTTTTCTGTTGGTAAAACTCGTGCTGTCCGAGTTCTGCACTCAACACTGAATCAGTTCAAGTTTAGTGCAATCCCAAAAGAACATGAATTTGGCGCGTTTTGTCATTCTTTTCAAATTTATTATTTAACGATCCCTGATCCCTAACCTAACCTAAAGATATTTTCAATAGAATAAAAATTAAAAACGTTTGTGTGTATGAAAAAGTTGAAAACGGAAGTTTTTCCTGTATGTAAAGTATATAATTATGCTTTCTCCCGAGATGTGCAGAAATAATTCCAATGATACCTGCGTTGAAATTAATTTTTGTCAATTTCAATAATAAAATTTTTGGTATCTCATTATCCCTGGCAAATATTCAGGCCTATGATGTA